GAAATGAAGTTGACTTGAGGATTCATTGAAAAGAAAACTTGGACATAGTGGTTTATCCCTTTGACATAGTGGGTGTAGTGGTTGGGACATGAACAGGGCAGAGTAGTGAGAAATGTCACTACGGTCAGGCCACCTGGGCAGAGGCTATCTTAGGGAAATCTTAGGGTGATGGTCTTCTAGGTATGAACTGGTACGTCTGATTGATGGATGAGGTCTTCCCTGGGTGTGTGGAGATGCTCTGAGAACTACCAAAGGTCTAAAACAGACATTACAAGACCTCAGAGTAGCACACTAAGGGCAAAAATATCAAGCAAGCAGCCGCAGAGGCAGTCTGGGCACTGCCTTGTGTAACAAGGCCAACCTCAGGTACAAAGAGGGAATTAGAGCCAGACATGGATATAAGGTTGGAGTCTCAGCTACTGACCTCCAACTTTGCAAGTAAATAGGATGAAAGTGGAGGGAAAATAGAGGTATTTACCTGCTGCCTTTTGCAGCTGGGGGCCAAAGGGGGAAGAGGACCCAAATTACAGAACCCTTCCTGGGACACAAGATCCTGTGGGAGGAGTCAGGTAGCTAAGGAAGGGGGTTTCCTAGAAGTAACCGAAGGCTCTTCTCAGGTCCCACCTAGCTTTAATCCAGAGAAAGAGAAAGCATTTGGTCCAGTATGATGGCAGAGGTCTTAGAGTGGTCTGGAGCCAGAAACTACGGTAATCAGAATATTCGGTGGCAGGAGCTGCTGGAGTTGGGGAAGACTTTCCAAGAAGTGGTGGAGGAGCCCCTTGCCACCTACCTTGTGAGGCTGTGGACATGTGAGCAGACAGGATTGGTTCGAATGCTGCCAAAGCAGAAAAACTGAGCGATATAACCCAACCATCCCTTCTTGAGGAAAAGGCCCCACAGTCTAAGGCTATCTCAGGACAATTGGTTCGTGGTAGACTGGCTCAAACAAGCCTTTAGGGACTAGTGTTTATGCTAGCTGAGGTCCTCAGGAATATCAGGGGCAGGAAACAGAAGGGCCCCAGCTGCTAAAGGAACTGGGTATTGGGAAGTAGTGTTAAATGGCCAGTCCACAGGCCTAGCAGGACTAAGAAAGAAATTAAACCAGGCCTGTGACACTGGTGTAGGACACCTGTGGCAGTCAAGCTATTGGGACCTGCATGAAGTAGACTGATCCAACCATACTGGATCCCCATGTAAAGTATAAAATGTTCACAAGGTGCTAAAGCAATGGGAGCAAGTTGAGAGGGGAGCAAGCCAGGCAAAGTGCCTCTCCACATTTTCCAAATACAGAGGTGGCTGGACTTGTACCCAGCCAGAGTCCTTGGGGACAAAGCTGGCAGGCACGGTAATACTGTGCTGGTCAGCCTATGGAGGGCTTTAAGGCCAGACCAGCAGTTTTCTCCAAGAGTAAAGGGAGCAGGTGACCAAAAGGTGCAGGCAATTCCATCGCACACCCCCTGCAAAGGAAGGTCTCAGGATGAGAACCTTCCTAGGCACTCCCCTGAAGAGGTGGCCAAGGTGGCCTGTGGTTTTGAATTTCTGTAATAGCCTCACATTCCCAGGGACCAATGGACTTTAAAGTGCTTCACCCAGTATTATCTCCGTGCTCCCACTCTTCATTTTGAATGGATCCAGACTTCACATCATTGTTCTTCCCAGCCTCTGTATAAAGGTCTTCTCATGTATGGATAGCATAACACTAAACTTGGAGTGTTTTATTGAGTCAGAGACTCGGGTAAGAGACAGTAAGTGCAGTGGAAGAAGCAAGCATGAGAAAAGAGCCGTGTTGTTGTGGAATTCCAGGTGTGGTTGGGAGAGGCCGAAGCACAAGCGATAACCATCAAGGTAATGGGGGAAAATTGCAGTAGCCTGTGCCTGCAAATGTTCAAGAATATCCAAAAGGTAAAAACATGTTCCTAGAAGCCAAAAGGAGACTAATTGATATGCCAGCTGGTTTTGATGTCACCTTGACACAAGCTAGAGTCATCTGAGAGAGGGACCTTCCACTGAGAATAAACCTCCCTAAGATCCAGCTGTAGGGCATTAGTGGTTGGTGTGGGGAGGGTCCAGCCCACTGTGGGCGGGGACACCCGTGGCAGCTGGTCCTGGGTTCTATAAGAAAGCAGCTCTTGGCTCCAGGTTCCTGACCTGAGTTCCTGGCCAGACTTCTTCCGATGATGAGCTGTGATGTGGAAATGTAAGCAACACACTTTCCTCCTCAAGTCACTTCTGACCTTGGTGCTTCCTCACCTCAGCAGTCACGTAAGTAAGACCACTGGGAATCTCATCGTTCAGAGTGGGTTACTTTCCTCAGGTGACCGAGGCTTTAGAGGCCACTGAAACAATAAAGACCTTTGGCACAGTTGTTAGTTGCGTTCCAGAAAGAATGTTAAGACTCCATTGCTTAAAGAGACTGAATGCACATGCGTTGGCTGCTAGACTTGGAGAAACAAAGCTAGGACTGGAACAGAAGTGCCTCCTCCCTGCTAGCTGGCTCCTGTGATGCCAGAAGTTGCTAAGTACGCTGAGGGAATTGAGGTTAGAAGTCCTGTTCAGGTTGGGCCCTGGATACTTCACAATGGAAGTGCCAGGCAGAGCAAGTCAAATAGCGCCATAGTTGACATGAGTGTGTATGGTTAGACTTAAATTTCCGATTGGCCTTAAGGAAACTTCACAGGGGGGAGGTCACATTGGTACAGGGAAGCAAAAGTCTGTGGCCAGGGAAATCATAGGTTTCAGTGGCAAAGCAGCTGCTATGCTTGGATAAATGATGTGTCAGCTGCAGTGCTTCTCCACATTTGTGCGCACAATTGTTACTGCAGCCTATGTCCATTTGGAAAATGTCTGTTCCTGGTTTTCATCCTTTTCCTCATTCGTGTTTTGTAGTAAGATACGATGACCACCACCACCTCCACCCCTCCTATGAGGTGAAGGCAAAAGAAAAGGGCACAAGGGTTTGTTCCCTCATTGAATTAGAGAGGAGACATCTATGCCACCTCCCTCTGGGAACCTTGTGGAAGAGGAGGGCAGAAAAGGGTGTAAGAGCAGGAGGAAATGATAGAGATGTTGGATGTTGTACAAGTCTATACCAAACAGCCACCATCTTGAGCGTTCAGCTGTGCCTGCTTGCAAATGATCATCCCAGCTGGACTTGTTGACCTCCTAGAGGGGAGGGGAGGGTCAGGAGATGTACCTGAGTACCTAGTCTATCCCTACCACCTGTTGTATGTAACTTTGCCTTTACTGTACAAGGCCTCTGGAAAAGGGTTAGAGTGTATAATAAGAGAGGGAAGGCGATTAGGGGGTGGAGAACTTCATCAATGCAGTTATGGGAAAAATCATCTCTACTTGATAGAGTTGTGGTGTGGTTTTGGGGAGAGCCCCACACTTTAGTAAGTAACCCTCATCTATGCCCAACAAACTCATCAGTTCCTTAGGGTGAACTTTGGAATTATACTTCATTCTGTCCTTGAGACCTTAGATGGAGACTAGACATCCTTTATGTCCCCCACAAGAATTTTAACAGCATCTGCTAAAATAACACATTCCCAATGTTTTGTGTGATAATTAAGATATTTGTAAGTCCAATACATAGGTTGATAATAAATGCCTGCTAAGGGGATTAAAGATAATCTGACATGATTTGGGCCCTGGATCTTCAGCATTCCATCTCTCCAGGTCACAGAGTTCTAAGTACGCAGAAGTGTCAACACAAATATGGCTGCTTCAAGGAACTTTGGCTCATGTTAATGAGCTGATGTCTCTAGACTTTGAATTTAAGTGTTTCTTAGCTCCCTTTGCCCTCAGGAGGGACAGGCCAAAAAGAGGCCTCCAACTGAATTTTCCTTCATTCACTTCTGCTGAGTTCTGAGCAGATGGCAGGAGTTAGAGTTGAGGAAATGCCTCTGCTGAGAAGAAGACCTTGTGGATGACAGTGCTCTGGGACATTTCAACATTAGCTCCCTTCCCCCAGAAGCCATGGGATTTTCCTCTGGTATTTATAGTGAGGGTCTGGTAGCATTCCTGGAGGTAAGCAGAGAAAAGCATGGGCCCTGCACTCCCTTGAATGGGTTCTCTGGGGTTGTCTATTTTAACTATGATTTTTATTATATCCTTGAACAATTGTATGAATGTATATAAATAGCATTCCAGTAACCCTCACCCCATCACCCTTTCCTATCTTCCTCTCTGGAAGTCCCTTCCTCACAGTCATGACATTTTGTTCCGTTTTGGAACCCTCTGAGCTTATCCAGGGTCTTCCTCTGACCATGAATTTGGACTTGTGTCCTTTCCCATCCTCCCACCCAAGTTTCAATGTGGTAGAATATTATTTTTGTTGTTATTCTTTTTAATTTATTTTTCAAATTCCAATCCCAGTTCCCTCTCCCTCCTACCTCCCACGCCCTGCACTCTCCCCTCCTCCCATCTGCTCCATGGAGAGGGTAAGGCCTCCCCTAGGAAGGTAGCGTATTATTTTAAGGGCTGTTGCTTTTGTTTATCGTGCATTTCTTTAACTCTCTGAAGCTGTGATTCTTTGCCTGTCTAAAACACCTGGTGGTCCTAATAAAGAGCTGAATGGCCAATAGCGAGACAGGAGCAAGGATAGGTGGAGCTGGCAAGCAGAGAAGATAAATAAAAGGAGAAATGAGGACAATGGAGCAGCAAGAAAACAAGGAGAGGAGGATGCTAGGAGCCAGCCCCAGAGTAAGAAGGAAAGAAAGGTATACAGGAGTAGAAAAGGAAAAGCCCAGGAAAAAAAGGTAGGATAATTTAAGGTAAGAAAAGGTTGGCTAGAAACAAGGCAAGATAAGGCCAGGCATTCATAAGTACTAATAAAACTTCCTGTGTGATTTCAGAGCTGGGTGGCAGGCTCCCCAAAAGCAAATAGAATAAAAAACATTTAATTGCCACACCCTAGTGTACAAACAACTGAAAACAATGACTTCCCCGCCCCTAGAATCCACCACGTAACTTATAAGTCATCCTGTGATGACAAGACTCTGCATACCTCTCCCAGACTGTGACTAAGGACAGGCCCAATCTAGTGCAGGCTGGTGGAGGTTTAGTCACCCAAAGCCACTAGCAACTCATCAGTTCCTGCCACAGCTTTCTTCCCCTGTGGTTGCTCTCTACTTTCTGGTAAGTGTTCAGTCTCTTTGTTTCCTTGTCTCTTTTATCCTGAGACCACCTGGCTGCCCCCATCTTTCATGGTTCCAAAAGGAGCTGCTGGCTTTTCAGGCCCTTCAGCTTCTTCCTTTTTTAGGAAGGAGGAGTAACTTACAGGGCCCTTAGAAAAACACAAGCCAGAAGTCTCCCTGTTGGCCTTAAAAGAAAATCATTATATGTGGTATTAGAGTTAATCCATACTGTAGATAGGAGAAATCAATGAGTCTTGGTGCAGCTTCCCAGTTCAGGAAATTGGCTCCTTATTTATTCAATTTATTTCTGTCACAGAAGACCCAGCACAGTAAGCAAAGCTCACCACCGCTGACCCCCAGCTATCACTCTCTTCTTTGTTTCTTCTTCCCACTTTCTCTTCTATCAGGTTCAGTGTGGCTGGATTTATGTTGAGGTCTTTGATCCATTTGGACTTAAGTTTTGTGTACAGGGATAGGTATGGATCTATTTGCATTCTTCTACTTGTGGACATCCAACTATGCCAGCACCATTTGTTGAAGATGCTTTCTTTTTTTCTTTGTACAATTTTGGCTTCTATATCAAAAACCAGGTGTTCACAGGTGAGTAGATTAATATCAGGGTCTTTAATTCAACTCTATGGATCCACATGTCTTTTTATGCCAATATGGAGCTGTTTTCATTACTATAGCTCTATAACAGAGCTTGAGGTCAGGAAGGGTGATGCCTCTGGAAGTTCCTTTATTATATGGGATTGTTTAGGCTGTTCTGGGTTTTTTATTTTCTATATGAAGTTGAATATTTGTTCTTTCAAGGTCTGTAAAGAATTGTGTTGGGATTTTGATGGGGATTGCATTGAATCTGTAGATTGTTTTTGATAAGATTGCCATATTTACTATGTTGATCCTACCTATCCAAGAGTATGGGAGATCTTTCCATTTTCTGATATCATCTTCAGTTTCTTTCTTCAAAGACTTACAGTTCTTATCAAAGAGGTTTGGTTATCGTTACCCCCGAAATATTTTATGTTGTTTGTGACTGTTGTAAAGGGTGATGTTTCTCTGATTTGTTTCCCAGCCCTTTTATCATTTGTACATAGGAGAATCTTGTATTAGTTAATCTTGTACCCAGCCACATTACTGAAGATGTTTTTCAGCTGTAGGAGTTCCCTAGTAGAATTTTTAGGGTCACCTATGTATACTTTTATATCATCTGCAAATAGTGAAAGTTTGACTATTGCTTTTCCAATTTGTATCCCCTTGATCTCCTTTTGTTGTCTTATTGCTCTAGCTAGAACTTCAAGTACTATATTAAGGAGATATGGAGAGAGTGGACAGCCTTGTCTTGTTCCTGATTTTAGTAGAATCTCTTTGAGTTTCTCTCCATTAAACTTTATATGCAGCCCTTCTAATGTCAGCCATGCTTATTAGCAGTTATTATGGCATGTCCTATGAGTTCTGAAGAGGCAAATGACAGCTTTTTAAAAATTAGTATATATTTCAATTCACACACACAGTATAATTTTGGCTATAAATTTATTATGAATTGCCTTTATTGTGATGAGGTATGATCTTTCTGTGCCTAATTCATTCCTGGATTTTATCATGAAGGTATTCAGATTTTAACAAACTCCTTGTCTGTCTATTGAGACTGGATTGTTTCCATTTGATCAACGGGCTGTATTGTGTTGAACCATTCTTGCATCCCTAAAATGCAACCAAACTTGATCATGTTGTATTCCTTCTTGATATTCTGCTGAATTTGATTTGGTACTAATGATGCTGAGAATTTGGGCATCTACTTTTATCAGGGAGACTGGTCTACAGCAATGGTTCTCCACCTGTGGGTCGCAACTCTTTGGGGGGGGGGGCGTCAAACAACCCTTTTCACAGAAAACACATTTTATATTACTATTCATTACAGTAGCAAAATTACAGTTATGAAGTAGCAATGAAAATAATTTTATGGTCGGGGGTCACCACAGTATGAGAAACTGTATTAAAGGGTTGCAGCATCAGGAAGATTATGAGCCACTGGTCTATAGCTTTCTCTCATGGATTTCTCTGGCTTTAGTAAGAGGGTCATGCTAGCCTGATATAATGGGTTTAAGGTATCTCGCCCGCCCACTTTCAGTTATTGGGAATAGAGAAAGATTGACCTTACCTGGAGGGATCTTCAACGGGAAAGCCCAGGACATTTCTGTTTTGAGACAAAGCCTCAGCAGTATTTCAGAGAGTAATGCCCTAGTTTCCTGGGACACTACTGAGGACAGTGATATCTAGTCCAGGAATGGGAACTCAAAGTATAACAAATCCTGAGATTCTGTTGTTCTTGTTCTTTTTTCATTTCCTGTTTCTGAATTTGTTTTAATCTCATTTAATGTGTACGGCTCTTTTACCTGCATGTATATATGTGTGCCATATGTGTGCCTAGTGCCCAAAAAAGCCAGAAGAGAGCATTAGATGCCCTGAAACTGGGTTACAGACAGTAGTGTGAGCTGCCATGCAGGTGCTGGGAATTAAACCCCAGTCCTCTAAAAGAACACCCAGTACTCTTAACCACTTAGCTATCTTTCCAGCCCTGTGTGTGTGTGTGTGTGTGTGTGTGAGAGAGAGAGAGAGAGAGAGCGCATGCGCATGCACATGAGTGTTGTATATGGTATGCATGTGCCTGTGTGTGCATGTGCCTGTAGAGGCCCTCATCAGGCTGTGGGGATTTCTTTAGGCATTGTTGCTTCTAGTTACACTACTAAGAGTGAGAGCAGTGAAAATACTGTAATTGTTGCATACTAGTTCTTGGGCCTGAAAAAAAGAGAGTTGGCAATGATAAGTTGAAAAGAAAATAAGAGGCCTGAAGCCAGTGTGGTGGCCAGACAGTGCAGACTTTAGGCACCAAGGAGGAGAATGTTACAACTAAATGATAGGAACTTGGAGGTAAAGCAAGTCTAGTTGGTAGGGTCCAAGCTATGTCTCTACTCATTTGAAAAAAAAAAAAAAAAAAAAAAAAAAAAAAAAAAAAAAAAAAACAGAATAGAGTTGGTCCTGGAGAGCACTGGATAATTCAAATAGAGCAAAAGAATTTATAGGCCAATGTCAGTCTCCCAGGACCATAAGACATCTCCAGATGATGATTGATGATAAGTGCAGAATGTGGTAGAAAAATAAATTTCATGTATCTGAAACATTCCCAGGGAAGGCCCAGTAGTGATCGTCTGGAAAGCTGATGTAGGAAGCTGGAAGGTTCAGCTGTCAACAGCCCAAGATACAGGAAATGAGATGATGTGTTGCAATGAAGCTCTTTAGCAGGGAGAAGATAGCATTCAGGCAAAAGAAGCACAGAGATGTCAAGTGGCTTTCCTACATCATAGCCCAGAAACACCAGAAAGAACAGAGTAAAGCCACCAGTCACTTGTTCCAAGCCCCAAAAGCCTTTGCTACCGTGAAAAGAAGCAGCTTGGCTTTACTTTCTTTTCCTGTGTGAACTTGTCCTAGTTTTCTAATTCTGGCTCTTGAACTCTTCATCCAAAATGTTCCTATCATGGGGTGTGGTTGGTGAGCACCTGAAACACAGCACTTGGAGGAGGAGACAGGGGGACCAAGAGCTCCAAGTCACCCTCGGCTACATAGCATGTTCAAAACCAGCTTGAGCTACAGGAAACCTTATCTCAATAAAGTAAAAAAAATTAGATAAGCATTTTAAAACTTTAATGTACGTATTTAGTCCCAGGGTCATAACGAAGCAGACATTAGTAGAGTATGTCTGGTGATAGTGTCGTGAAAACCACTGCCAACTGGGTCATGAGTCATGACGGCCTGGCAGAAGGAAGATGGCTGCCCCATCTTTTGAGTCAGTAGAATATTCTATCAGACACCTGTTAGTCTTCCTTAGTGTTAGGTATGGTCAAATCTAAAGAGCTGAAAGTGTGTAGCTAAACAGTTTAAGAGAAAAAGGAGGTTATGTTACCATGGTAACTTCACAGCAGCTCTCAGCCCTTTCACAGGAGAGCCGATTTTCCTGTACCACTTTTTATTTGTGCAGTGGTTTTCTTGGCTGCTGAGAACCTAGCAATATACCAGTGCTGTGGGCAGTTTAATATGTCTTTGCAACAATTACAGCCGTGTTTGAGAGTTTAGGTGTGCATGCTAGTCACTCTCAGCATTATCACAGTTTGAAAAAGAAATGTCTCCACCTTTGGGGTATTTTAGCCAATTGGTAGGTTTCAGGAAACTTATTAGTTAATAAGAAATGATTGGGGATGAAAAGTAGGAGGAGATGGGGCCTAGTTGGAGGAAGGAAGTCTTTAGAGACATTCCTGGGAAAGATGCATTTTGTCCCCTGATGCCTGCTCCTTGCTCTCTGCTTCCCAGGGTCACACAGTATGCAGCGCTGTTCTCTATATGGTATTCACATGGGCCACCTTACCCTAGCCTTAGAAACAGCCATGCACTGAAGCCCTGAACTAAAATCTTCCCTTCTTTGAGATGCCTTCCTGTGAATCTTTTTTTTTTTTTTTTTTTTTTTTTTTTTTTTTTGGTATATAACATCACAAATCAATGGGCAAATATAAGTTCCAGGTCAGATCCATCTTTAGAAAAACTGTACCCCAAGATCAGCAAAAGTCAGGAAGTGATAAGCTAAAGTCTAGTGTGCAAAAGGAGGAAGGGGGAGGGGCTGGATATGACAAGACTCCTTGACTAAAATGGTCAGGATGAGCTAAGCACTGCTTTTATGGCAGTCTGGAGAGTGAGTTATCTCTCTTGTCTTGATAATCTGAACTTCCTGTCTTAACTCAGTCTTAACAGAAATCTGCTGTCCCCTTGATGTCCTCTACTTTGTAACTATAATTCCTCAAGTGTCCTTGTTATATTTGGAACTGAGATTTTTTTTCCCTCTAGTAGTTTCTGAATAAAATTTATTCTGGCCTCTTTGATTATTATCTCACTCTACTGTTGTCTTACAATATGAAAAGCCAGACATATATGTAAGTATCTTTATTGTCTATTAAGATAAATCATCCCGATTCAGACATGCTAATGATAATATAAATTAGTATAAGTTCCAAAGATAATTTTACATGATTCTCTCTATAGAAAGATTTTCACAGCATTATTTATGAAAAAAAATTATAAAGAGTAAGAATATCCATATGTATGTATATATGTAAGAGTATGTAAAATATGGTGCATTCCTTTGTGGAAAATACTGTTCATGAAGTATTTATGAAGAATTATAATAACCAATAGTAGTCTTATGAAACTATGACTATGAAAAAATGATACAAAATGCATGAAATTATGGCCTCAATAAAATTTTTGAATGTGTAGATTATATTTTTTTAAACACATAGGTATATGTGTTCAAATGTGCATACATATGACCAAAAGAATAGCAAGCAGTATGCTAGAGAACCTTGCTGGTATGGTAGTGCACAACTTTAATCCCAGTACTGGGGAGGCAGAGGCAAGTGGAACTCTGTGAGTTTGAGACCGGCCTGACTTGTTTAGTAAGTTACAGGACAACCAGGGCCACAAACTAGAGAGGCCCTGTCTCAAAACAAAAGATGGAAGTCAGGTGTGGTAGTTCATGCCTGTAATCTCAAGAAAGGCTGAGGCAGGAGGATCACAAATTTGAGTACAGCCTATGCTAAAGAGTAAGACCTTGCATCAAAGAGGAAAACCCTAAAGCCAGAATTCCTGGTTATAAAGACAAGCTAACCCAATTTGCAATGGTGCTTACTGAAGGAAAATAGGTGACTAACAGAATGTGAGAGAGGGCTGAAGCAACAGCCTCTAGGGCAGTGTTTCTCAGCCTTCCCAATGCCTGCCATCAGCACCTCATGTTGTGATCCCCAAACCATAAAATTATTGTCATTGCTACTCCATAACTGTAATCATGCTACTGTTATAAATCATAATGCAAACATGTTTTCTGATTGGTTTTAGGTGACCCCTGTGAAAGGGTCATCTGACCCAAGGGGGTCGAGACCTGCAGGTTGAGAACCAGTGTGCCTGAGGCTTTTGACACCTGGGTGTTTCCAGAATCTAATTAGAGAGAAGAAGAGTATAGTGGCTCCTATACTTTCTCTCTATATATATATACTGTATATATACACTATATATATA